TCTTGCTGAAATTTTACATTTCTTCTGGAACTGTAATGGACTTCACCTGGAAATATCTCCAAAATGTAATTAAGACAATCAGGTAGAGGGAATTAAGTTAGTTTAAAAATATTTTTTCAGGAAAGGAAACCAAATTCACTCTTGGGAGTGGGGTCTCTAATAATGTTTCCTCTTCCTTTAAAATAATAGTAGATTAAAACCATTCTGGGAAGTGTCAACAAAATCTTAATTTCATGTCCAATGGCAGAAAAGCCAAAGCCAGAAGAAAAATCATGTGACAAAGTGTGTTTACACAGATGCTGGACTGCCTCCAAACCTATGCAAATAGTACTAAATCTTCCCAGGGTTGAACAATGGGTCTGAAATGAGGCATCAAAGAATAATTAATATATATTAACTTGGTCCCATCCATTATCACGCTACACAGAGTAGGTTTTTTTCCCCATAAGCAGAAATAATCAACACAGTGCAAAAGTTTCCTAATCCATTTGTGGATTTTGTGTGTGTTAAAATGCAAATATATATTCAAGAGTTCAGTAGCAAGGGTTTGGTTGGTGCTGGTCTGCACTGTTGCTTTTATTTTGTAAAAAAATTGCAGGTGGAATGCAAACCCTTTCAGAAGTCTGCTGAATTGTGCAATGACAGTTCCCTCATTAAAAAATAATAAGAAGAATAATATGAGTTTTTGTACAAAAGTTGCAGGTGCATGTCTCTGTTGGTATCTTATCTTGGGGAGGTGAATACTGGCAAGAGCAAGAGAACAGGGGCTCCTGGTGTCGTCCCATCTCCCTGACCCAAGGGAACAGCACTCCAGGGAGTCAGGTAGCCCTAGGACTGGGAGTCATCAGGTAAAGCCAGGACTGAAGCCAGCAGCAGGACACTTAATTTCAGCATTCGACCTCAGCAGGAGTTACTTTGGAGTTACACTACTTCATGAGTAAGGGTATTTTGGACATAGTGTGCTGAAAGAGGAGGTAGGATTGTTTATATGTGCTAGAATCAGCAGTACTCAATTTTAAGGAATATCCTAAAAGCACAGAGTGCCTACTCAATGTCTCATTTTCTTTGCGAATATAAGAATTTCTTCTTTTACATTTATCATAGCTAATATTGCCCAAGTCGCTGTTGACAGAGCTAAACTGTCTTCCTTCACTTGACCTCCATACTTCAAGAAATAATCATTACTCTTTTTTCTTATGACATCTGACAGCTAACAGTGAGATAATAACCTCAAAAATAGAGAGAGTTCCTAGCATTTATTTTGTTTTTTTTAAAAAAAAACTTTGATCTGAAGTGCATATGTGAGGTAGGGAGGGGACAGGAAGAGGAAGGGGCAGTATTAACTGTAGAGAGCACATGCAGGCTACGATAACAACTTTGAAATAAATCATATAACCAAACCACAACAGGAAAATCTTTGATAGTCTGAACATTGTATAGAGCTAGTATGGTCTCCCCAAGCACAGTGCCTTTTCATTGGTGTTCCTGGAAAGCCTGGATATGAGATTTCCCTAACGTGGTAGAATATCAGATATAAATTGCTAAATAACCTCATTTTCCTCTCTTCTCTTGCTTCCCTACCAGAAAGAAAAAGCAAAAGACTGCTACAGAAGAATTTGCAAAGAAATAATTTGAAACCAGTAATCTGTGAAGACAACGAGATATAAAGACATGAATCAGAAACAGCTCGTTACTTTAAATGAACGTAAGGTGCTGTGGATAAGGGCACTGTGTCTTTTAGCAAACATTACTTGCAGCTTCAGTCTGCTAAAGATGTTTCTTACATTTCTCCGAAAATATTTTCAAAAGCACACACCAAAATGTCACACCAATTCTTGTTTCCTTATCTTTTAACTGTGGAACATAGTTTCTTGTTGTCTCAAAGGGACAACAACATTCCTGGATAATACCTAATTTCATCTTTTTCACTTGTTCCAAGAGCTCCTATGGTGAATTATTCAATTTTCAAGACAATTTTAGCACCGACAAGAGCAGTTTGTTTACACTCTTTTTAAAGAGTAAGAAAAAGCCTTTTCACTTGTAATGTACAGAGACAATTTGGATAGAAATGATATTTTCAAGCCTTGAGCATTATAAATATTGGCCTTCGGTGGTTATAAAATAAGTGTCCTTTTAATCTAGTTTAATCTAGATCTGTTTAATCTAGTACAACAGATTTTATATGTGATAGTTCTGGGTCACAATACACTTACATAGAAGCCACCTGCAAAATATGCTAAAGCTCAAAATAAAGCAAATAAACATGTGAGCCTAAGCAGTTTTAGAGATTTAGTTCTGAAGAACTGTAGTTTCCTGTTGAATTGTGCCTTATGGTGTCTGAGATTACTTTTTATGCTTGCCAGGAGTGCTTATAATGTTTTTCTTCCATTCAATGTCAAACAAAGTGGGACTCCCAAGGGCAGCCTCTCTATCACCAGGCTGCTTCAACAGCCTATCACATTTATCAGGCACCTATTTTCATGTCACTTGTAGAAGAATGATGATCTCTGGGACTTCTAGCCTCTGCTTCACATGTGGCTGCAATCAGAGGGCATGTTCAAAAAATTATTAGGGGGAAATGCACATACACACACATATACACAAACACAGATTTTAAGTCTTTTTTTTCCCATAGGAAATCACTGTAAAAATATACTCTTATGCCTTTTGCTTTACCAGAAATGACCTCATAGTAATTAAAAATGGATGTCCTATAAAAGACATTGGATGCTTTTTCCATCCAAATGAAAAGATAAACAGTTAACACTACACAGTATCAGAAGAATAAACAGGCAGCAGCAAGTGACAGACCAGTGACCTCGAAGAGGGTACAATGCAGTACTTAAAGAAATAATGTTCTGTTACTTTTGGAAGGGCAGCAGGGGTTTTTTTTTATATATTATATGATGAATTACTGCATCCATCATCCTGCTACTGTTTAGTGTATTTCTAATTGTAAAACAAATTCCTTTTCAGGACAAATTGCCTTCTATTTCTGCTGTGTCAATGGGAGATTCTCTCCACTAAAAACAACAACAAAAAAAATTCTTCTGTATTCTACACTAGAATGCCTTCAGGGTTACCATTATATCAGGAAAAAAAAATACAAAATAAAAGTGATATAAATTTTGGCCAACTCAAAGGAGAAGTTAGGGGGAAGGAAAGATTTTACACAGAGTATGGAAAAAAAAAAGATTGTAAGAACAATGTTCCATCTATAAACGCCTTCAGGTAATGTCGACAGAAGGCATGATTCATAAACACTCAGGAAATCATGAAAGAGATAAATGATCCTTCTACCGGCAGCTGCAAGTAGCCTCACACTCACAGACCCTGGTTCTCATGCGGGAGTTCAACCACTCTTAATATCCTCCAGCTCAAGATCAACGCACTCTTATGAGTAAGAAGTCAAGCAAAGAGGGTAGGAAATGTGCATGGATGAGGAAAACTCAAAGAGAAGGTGGTAGGCAAAGCACTTGGGAAGAATATAGGACTGTTGTCAGGGTATATAGCGATGCAACAGGAGGGCTAAGGCGCATTTAGAATTAAATATGGCAAGGGATGTTAAGGACAACAAGAAGGGCTTCTTGAAATACCAAAAGGAGGACTAGGGAAAATATAGGCCTGCTGCTATATGGGGTGGGTGCCCTGGTGATGAAAGATACAGAGAAGTCAGAATTACTGAATGCCTTCTTTGCTTCAGTCTTTACTGCAAAAGCCAGCCCTCTGGAATCCCAGACCCTGGAGACAAAAGAGGAAACCTAGAGAAAGGAACATCCAGAAGGCCAATAGTATCCTGGGATACATTAGGAAGAATGTTGCCAGCAGGTCAGAGGAGGTGATCTTCCCGCTCTACTCAGCCCTGGTGAGGCCACACCTGGAGCACTGTGTCTGCGATCTCCCCGTATAGAGGGACATGGAGCTGCTGGAGGGAGTCCAGTGTAAGGCTACAGAGATGACCAGGGGACTAGACGGGGCCCTAAGCTGGGCCTGTTTGGCCTGCAGAAGACAAAAAGGGAATCTTATCGATGTATGCAAGTATCTGAAGGGAAGGTGTCAAGATGGAGCCAGACTATTTTCAGAGGTGCCCAGCAAAAGGACAAGAGAAGTGCCATAACCTGGAACACAGAAGGTTCCATCTAGATTTGAGGAAAAGCTTATTTACTGTGAGTAACAGAGCACTGGAACAGGTTGTCCAGAGAGGTTGTGGAGTTTACTTCAAAACCCACCTGGATACAATCCTGTGTAACATGCTCTACATCACACTGCTTGAGCAGATTGGGCTTTGTGATCTCCGGAGGTGCCTTCCAACCTCAGCCATTCTGTGACTTGTAGTGTCATAGGCTCCATTTCTCAACTAGTGTAAAAGTAATAGTCAACACACTGGTATTTCTTATCATTTATTATGGCACTTAAAAAGCTATAAACTCCATTTCTAGCCCATTTAAAAAATAGGCTTTTAGATTTTAGGCAATATTTCAATGGATTTTAAGAGTTTTCAGAATGTTACTAGATAGTAAATAAGAATCTTGCTAGGAAACAAGGAGTGTTCTCAAAATAATGCTTCCTTTCAGCAAAGTGCTGAAGCACTTATAGGTTTAAGTTAACCCTACCAATTGGTTTGCTAGTACATATATTTTAAGGAAAGAAATTTCTGGATGTGAAATATGAAAAAGAGAGCAAACCTATCCCTGAAAATACTTTCCTTTGTTTAAAGCTAAAACAAGCTTCTGTCTTATCTATTCCCACCCAGGTCCATTTACTTTGTAGCCCTCAAGCCAGGAATAGCTCCAGAAATGGAACTGAGTAGACTTTCTATTTCAGAGTTTACTACCTTATCAGTAAAGAATGGGATGTTTGGTCAATCCTCAGTTTGCTATTAACCATTCCTTACTATGAATGAGAAGATATTGTGCCATCTTAAACTGAACCCAGTAGGGCCTAAAACCAAACTGAATTTTCACAAAAGCTCACTTTATAGTAACAACATTTCCACTTGGTATATTTGAAAATTTTATTTAATAGCCTCAATAGATCAGAATAGTTACATAATAGTTACATCACGGCTTTTAAAAAGGATTGCACACAGCTACTCAGTCCATTGAAATACTAGAAAACAGGGAAAAGGAAGAAAATGGAGTGTAAAGGAGCTCTGTTCACTGAACTGAGTTGTTTGTAGCAAGTTCTTACTGAATATGAAGACCTGTCCTCATGCTTTCTGGTAGACTCTAACACACTTGACACCATTCATGTCACATTCCTAGAAGATATAGAAATGAATTCATTAATTTTCATCAGCCCAAATGAGAAAAGTGGCTGCAGTTAAAAATCTCTTAAACGTTACATGTCAGGCTACTAGCTAGCAGCACTCAAACAGAAAGCAAAGCTGAACTCACCACCACCAATTGACCATCCACTAGTTTCCGTGTTATTATGGTCTTCTTGCCATCCCACTCCTGTTCCTGAATCAATGACCCATCATCTTTTAAGCTGACAAGGGTCTGAAAAGAGAACAAGAACATTAATATTTTACCCATGGCACTTGCCAAAGATTGTTTTCTAGCACCTTATTTCAAAGGAAAAATTCCCACCCCAGGTCACTTAATAGCAATTTTGACGTTGACTTCCACAAAGTCAGGATTTGATCCCAAGCTTTAATTGATCCCATTCTTGTATTATCACACTGGTTGTTTAGTCACTGCTCTGGCACAAGCCCAGACGAAGCAGACCTTTGACAGCATGCACAATTCCAATTAACAAGGGCAGACGATGTTCTCTATTCATCTCTTTGTACATGGGCTTCAAGCTTTTGTGCCACATTTATCTGATCTTGCAATAACAGATGAATTGCCAGTGTGTGACCAAAAGCGGGTAATACGACACAGAAAGCTCTCAAACAAGAAGATGAAGAGACATATTTGAGGGTTTCTTTGTGTTTAACCTCCTCTGACATGAACATTCTCCCTACTGAGGGCAAGGAGAGTCTCCTTGCCTCAAACTGGAGATTAGGGGCTGTGACTTGCTTTTATGCCTTCTGTATCAGTTATCCAAATGCACACTCAACTAGACTCTTGTTATGCAAATATGACGGAATGAGCCATAAGGTTCACAGTAGGGCTGCCTCTGATTAAACATCAATGGGATTTTTTCCATTGGCTTCAAATAAACTGGCATTTAGCCTTTCACATGGATTTAGAGGGCTGTTAGTTTTATCAGCACAATGCCTGTCTTATATTATTAGTTTCAGCATTTTTCCGCTTTGCAGACTGCTTAATGCAGAAAAAAATCAATTTCAATGAGACTTGCAGTGGTAGCTGTCTATCAAACAAGGAAATACTAATGTGAACATCAAAACTGTTTTTAAAATACTATCTTTGTTTGTGAATCCCCCAAAGGATG